TTTATTAAACCTGTCCTTTCACTGGGAGTTTCAAATCCATACATAAAATAAATTCTGGACTATCTATGTTTATTTCTTAAGCTTTTTCTTTTCTTCCATCTTTTTATCTTTAAGCTCCTTGAGAATATGGACCAAGGCTGCTTGGTTCTTTGCTGTAGCCTCAAGGACTGACCCCACTGCCTGTAATACAGTGGGAGCTAGATATGTTTGTTGACAGATCACCTATTTCTTTCTATACCATTGCTACATTTTGAATTACTGTAGCTTTACAATAAGTATATATTGTTTTTATGTATTTTATGTCTATTTTTTAATTTCCCTTGGCCAATATAAAAAAGTCTTCAAGGGGCACCTGGGTGGCTCAGTCATTAAGCATCTGCCTTCAGCTCAGGTCATGATCCCGGGGTCCTGGGATCGAGCCCCGCAATGGGCTCCCTGCTCGGCAGGGAGCCTGCTTCTCCCTCTCCCACTCCCCCTGCTTGTGTTCCCTCTCTCGCTGTTTCTCTCTCTGTGTCAAATAAATAAATAAAATCTTCTTTAAAAAAATAAAAATAAATTTAAAAAATTTAAAAGTCTTGAAGATGAGCATGAGCAATTTTTAGTCCCCCAGAAAACTAAGATTTTGATTAAAATATAATTAAATATATGACTTACTGGGAAGAATTGTTACCTGTATGTTGTTTTATTATCCAAAACATATTGTTTCTCCGTTGTCTTAAATTTATTTACTTGTTTAATTTATTTTAGTATTACTCTTTTCTCTTAATAGGTATAATAGTTTTCCAGGTAATTATCTTGGGACTTCTAGGTTTTAAGTAACATTATCTATAAATAATAATTTTGTCTCCTTTCCAGTATTGATTGCATTGGCCAGAGTTTCCACTATTAACAGTAGAAAGAATAAATTTGATCTTGGTTTTTACAGTGGAAGGTAAGGCCTTTAAACTAGAAGGCCTGGGGAGAAGACTCTTCGTAGAGCTAATATGACAGTGATTCAGGGTAAAAGGAGTAGCATTGAGAACTTGTATGTGCACCTTGAACAGCATCTGTCTTTATCATGTGAATCTTCATTCAAAAAAAATTTTTTAAGAGAGGGCAGGGGGTGTAGGGAGGGACAGAGGGAGTGGGAGAGAGAGAATCCAGCATGGAGCCCAGTACAGGGCTCCACACGGGCTCATGGCCAGGCTCAGTCTCACTACCCTGAGATCATGACCTGAGCGAAAATCAAGAGTCATCGCTTACAACTGAGCCACCCAGGCTGTACATACATTATTACGAGGCCTCAACTGAACTCCAGAACCAGATATATGGGCATAAACGGTGGGTGGGCACTCCCTTTTTAAGCATCAAATCACAAGCAGTTCTCTATATAACTAAACGGTATGGTTAAGGAGTTTAGGATTTTTGTTTTGGCATGGATTTCTACATTAAAGAATTAGTGCCTTCTTGGGTACATTATCTTTGAATTCAAAATGTGTGGTATTTCTGGATTTGAGAAATTATTGATCCTTTTGGTAAGAGGAGGAAGGGAATAGTGGCACGTGGTTGGAACCAAAGACAGAACAAAGCACCCCAGCACTGCTTCGTATACTAAATAATTCCAGTGTTTGGCATTAACGGAGTTTAATATCTGAACCTGGGTGGCTCAGTCGTTAAGCGTCTGCCTTCTGCTCAGGTCATGATCCCAGGGTCCTGGGATCGAGCCCTGCATCGGGCTCCCTGCTCCGCAGGAGGCCTGCTTCTCCCTCTCCCACTGCCCCTGCTTCTCCCTGTCCCACTCCCCCTGCTCGTATTTCCTCTCACTGTGTCTCTCTCTGTCAAATAAATAAATAAATAAAATCTTAAAAAAAATAAAAAAAATCTGAGCCTGGTTATAACAAGCAATTTGCAAAGATCCTATTATACAACTAGAAGGAAGCTATGTTTATTATGATATAGAATTTAGAATTATTAATAGTCACAAATGTATCACTAAATATTTCTATCCCTGATTGTTGTGCAGATTCACCCTATTTATATAAAATTTTTATATTCAGTAGCACAGCTCATTTGATTGAGTTGTGAATAGTTTTTTTAAACATTTGGGGGAAAAGAAAATTGTGACCAACCCTCTAAATAAAGTAGAAAAGAATAATAGGTTTATTTGGGCTTATAACTTGATTTTTAAAATTATCTACCATAGTTGCACACTCTGTAAATTTCTTAAGTCAGATATTTTACATAGACAAATTTTATTGATCATTATGTAATTTTACTGGTACTGTTCATCCTTTTGCTATAGTTTTACTGTTGCTCTCCTGGGTTCAGTTTGTTGGTTTGTTACTTGCCCTGTCTGCCTGGTTTTGTGTTACTTATGTACTGTGAATTATAAATGTGAAAACTAGTAAATTGTTATTCCTGTGATTCAGGAGGAAAGGTATACTGAGCACAAAATTTTGATCAGTTGTGTATCATCTGAATGATATGCCTTGGGAAATAGTGTCCTCTAACAAGATAAATTGATACGAATGGATGTGTTATTTGCTGAATTGTCAGATACCTAATATTACTCTAGGTTTTTCTTTTTGATCATAAATATTGTTTTTTTTTAAATAAAAACAAAACATGTTTCATTTCTCCATTCCTCAAACTCTGATCCAGTGCAAAGTTGTGAAGGGTTTGAAGGGGGAATGTTCCTATATAACATGAGGTCTTCAACACTACTAGCAACCGGGGAAAGGGAAGGGGAAGTAAAAAGTGTTGAGAGGAGACAGAGGAGACAAAGCTCAACAAGGGTATAGGAAGCTAAAGAGGAAGATGTCGGTGATTAGATTGTAAAATGTAAACAACTGAATGGCAAGAATTATCTTTTTTTTTTTTTTTAAAGATTTTATTTATTTATTTGAGAGAGAGAGAATGAGAGATAGCACGAGAGGGAAGAGGGTCAGAGGGAGGAGCAGACTCCCCGCCGAGCAGGGAGCCCGATGTGGGACTCGATCCCGGGACTCCGGGATCATGACCCGAGCTGAAGGCAGTCGCCCAACCAACTGAGCCACCCAGGCGCCCCAAGAATTATCTTTTTATATTGTTGACTTGGAGAGTAGATACTCAGCATATGCTGTTGCTTGAACAATGGTGTGATTATCTACCAATCACTTAACTAGCATCCTCTTCAATGCCCACATTTCTCTCACTGCTTTCATCACATAAATCACCATTTGCAGCTAACTCTACATCTGAATCATGTTATAAATCTCTCCTCCTTTCCATTTCCAGTACCACTGCTTTGCTTCCTGAATGGCTTTTTCTCTTCTCTTTGAAAGTTTAGACTCCATGAAACCATCAGGATTATTGATCTAAAACACAGATGTGTTAATATCATTCTCTAATTTAAAAACCCAAAATGAGGGGTGCCTGGGTGGCTCAGCTGGTTAGGTGTCCAACTCTTGGTTTCAGCTCAGGTCATGATCTCAGGGTTGTTTAAAAGCGTGGAGCCTGCTTAAGAGTCTCTCTTTCCCTCTCCCCCTCCCCCCCCATAATATAGATAGATAAAATTTTAAAAAATAACAACTGAAAATGATTTCTCATTATAGTCAAAAGTCCAAACTCTTTAGCATGACAGTCAAGACTTTTTACAATCAGACCTCATTCTGTTTCTCACCTGATACACCACTATTCCCCTCCTTGTGCTGACCCTACTATGGTACTCAGAGTTCGCTAACCCTCCGCAGATCGTACTCCTCCATATTTTTGTGTAAGCTGTTTCTTTCTCAGTATCCTTGGTAGAAGTCCCATAGCATCCAAATAGAATATACCTTCTCTTCTGGAATTTTCCTCACTCTATCCCTCTTAACCCCCAGCAGAATGAAAGGTTCCCGTCTGCTTCCGTTATGCTTTCTGTATAACTCCTATTAAACTTCTGTTCACTTTGTATTGTAAATTCTTTTTGACAGTAGATTAGCTCCTTAAGGATGGTAGTTTGCTATCATTTATTTAGCAGAATGCCTAGCACATAACAAGTACTGTGTGCATCATCATCTCATTTAATCTTCTCAACAGCCTTATGAGGTTGGTGCTACTGGGACAACATCCTCATTTTACAATTAAGTAAACTGAGAGGTACCGAGGCCCCACAGCCGGTACACAGCAAAACTCGAACTCCAGCCTGGATCCACCTGACTCATGAAGTCCATACTCTTAACTGTTTTGCTGTATCCACCCCCCCGCCCCCAACGTCTGTGTTTCCTTGGTGCCTGCTCTCCTTTGGTACAGTAGGTACTCTGTCAGTGCTTATTGACTGAATGAATAATAAAAACTCCAGTTCACACTGTGATTTCCATTGAAAGGGAGAGTGAAAGATGTCTGCACCATTCATAAAAATAAAATGTTTAAAAGAATCATCAAAATACATACATACACAAAACAATTCAATATGTTATTGACTGGGTCTCAGAAATGTTCAACTTGGGGGGAAAAAAGCTTCATTTCTAAATATGCTGGCTTTTGTAACTGTCCATGCAGGACACCGCATAGTACTGCACAACTATAAAACGTCTTGACTTGATTTCTGGGAGACTGCTGCCCCCTTACTTCTGTCTTTGTTATAAATGCTCTCACAAGTCAGATAAGCTAATTGAACTTTTACTGGCATAATACATTGTAGAGCTAGCCATATAATATATGTAAAGTCTTTGAGATGGAGTACAGTAAATATAGCATAATTGAGGTCAGCAAAGTTTGTTGCATGTTTTTAATCTATCATAAATTGAAAAATGCTTTAAATGCCATATACTGTTAGTGCTTGTATGAATGAATACGGTATCAATTGTGTTTTTCCTTGGGTTGTCTTAAGTGTCAAATAGTAAATCAGAACATGACATTTAACCCTTAAAAATCTTGTGAGTGAATGTTAGTAAGAAATAGCAGCCTTAATCTTTTTTATCATCTGATTTTCTTTATAGATTTAGTAAAATGTAATATAGATTCAGTTTTTTAACTTTTCTTTTCTATTATTTCTCTAGTGTTATTAATAACAATACTTGTAGTCGAAGGGATTGCTGTGGCCCAAAAGACCCAAGGTAAAGTACTTAAAGTGATAACTTATCACATATTCAGGACAGTGAGTGGGATGGCTTATTGGAAAGAATTGCAACTTTTGAATACTATTTCCGTAATCCCTCTGGGGTGTTCCAGTGACCTAGGGCTTTCTGTCAACCTATCAGCCTCTGTTTTACTGAGTTCACTTGCAGTTAACTGAGTAAATTGTCAACATAAATCTTGCCCTGATAAATTTTTTAAATGGGCATCACTAGTAGCTCCTAGCACTCTGGATTATGTCCAAAAATTAAATGAGATTCATGCTTTATCACTCAGCAAAAAAAAATTCCCTTTTTTCAATGTAGACAAGTGAAATATTTCCATCAGTGTCTTATTCAAAGCCCTGTGGACCTGTTCTGATTGTCCTTGTTTATGAAAGAAGATAAGCTAGTGTGCTTTTCGGACCAGATTTTCATGTCAGAGTTTAGAACATTTACTGATTTACTTTTTATTTTCATCTAAGTTATACATACACATGACAAAAATCAAAGCATTCTAAAAAGTTAATTATGAAAAAGTAGTTTTCCATCCTCTGCTACTCTACTTCCTTCTCCATGGAGATAACCAGAATTTTAGCTGAATCTTTTGGTATTTCCCTGCATATTTCTAAATAATGTTATACTGTTACTTCTTAATATTTCAGCTTTACATATTAGACAGTGATTTCCCACCATGGAAGATGAAAATTTAGCTCTTTCATGCTACATTCTACCCCTGACTATACCCCAGTATTCTATTACTTTCCTTCTGTACCACCTGTTCCAGTGTAGTTCTGTCATACGTAATTCTGGTCACATCTGTTTTCAGAATTTGTCACTCACGGAGCTTTTTCCATATGAAAATTTTGTCCTTCAGTTTAGGAAATTTTTATTTCCTTTTTTTCTTGTTTAAGTTTTTAAATTCCCTTTTCTCTATTTTTTTCTGTTTTATCCTTTAAAAACTGTTTGGTTATGGGATAGGTTTGTGGTGGTTGTTCTATTTTCCATCTATCTTTCTACTCTGTTTTTTTCTCAGTCTCTATTGAGACTCCCCCAACTTTACCGTCTAAGCCAGGAATGGGAAAACTTTTTTCTGTAAAGGGCCAGACAGTAAATATTTAAGATTTTGCAGGCCTTGCAGTCTCAGGAGCAACGACTCACTTTTGCTGTTGTACCATGAGAGCTGCTATGGACCATAGGCACAAGAATGGACATGGATGTGTTCCGTTGTAAACTTCCGTTACAGTAACAGGCCACAGGTCAGATTTGGCCAGAGCTACACTTTGCGGTCCTCTGCTTTAAAATTTCTACTAATTTTTCATTTCTTCTCTTTTTAGAAAATTTTTGTTTTCTGAATATTCTAAAGTATCCTTGTTCGTGTTTTATAGATACACTCTCTTTTTCTCTAAGGAAATTAAATGACAGTTTTGTTTTAATTTTTGGGGTTTTTTTTTAATATAATCTTTGTTTCTTCAGATTTGCTTTCTTCTTGTTTTTTATTCATTGTTCATATTAGAGGCTTTCCTCAAATATCTGGTGCTCCTTGACTGTCTACTGTTATTTATGAGTGGAGCACTGAAATCTGATGATTAGCTGTCAGCAGGTGTAGAAGGACTTGTTTTCTGTGACCCAGCACTGGGGAATTCCTGAGTCCGCACTGCTGGCGCTCTCCTCTGGACTGTTGAGAGCCCCCAGACAGGAAGCTTTCCATGTCCTGGTTAGAGGTTCTGCATCTTACCTAGAGGTTTTAAAGGAGTTGAGTGGGGGAAGAGGCCAGGAATGCCATTCACTGTGTTATCATTCCCTAGTCTCCTTGTTTGCGGGTTGGTATGGTCACCCTCAGCTGTGCCCAGTGTCTCCTAGTCCAGGAACCTTAATTTATCTTCTGCAAAGGAATCACCTCATTTTCCGATGTGGTGACAGCAGCAGCTACCTAGATTTGTAGAGCAGGGGAGGGTATTAGAAATCAGATTGATTCTAAATAACTCTTAGCCAGGCCTCATGTTTTTAGAAAGGACAATTTCACCACCACCTGTCATGCCTGCTCATCAAGTACTGCCAGTTGTTGTGATTGCACCTACCTCTTTGTGCCTCTTTAGGGGTTTATTTTTGCCCTTAAAAAATCCGGAACTGTTGGTGGAGTTTAAGGAGAGAGAACTAAATGCATGTGTTCAATCTACAGTCTTTAACTAAAATCCTTTGTAATCTTTGGATCGTATTTGGCTTTTGTGTTAAACTAAATATAGAGGTACCATACCAGAGATAAACCCCTGGGATCCTTTTATTTTTATGTCAGAACTGAATTTGATAGTTGCACTGATTTGTCAGATTCTCCCACATGGTTTTGCCCTTGTAAAATCTAAGCATTTTATTTCCCTGCTCTCCTACAGGGCAAACTTGTCCTCTAGCAGCAAGTTCTTCCCACCAGCACAGCATACAATTTTACCTTTCTGTCTCTTCTGCTGTATTCAATTTGTTGCGCTAAACTTGGCAGTGGTTCTTGCAAAATTATATACACTATCTGTGTGACCTAGAGTGGGCAATTGTTTGGCTAAATTGTGGGGAAAAGAGAAGAATGTTGTTCTGCTGTAATTCATGTTTTAAACGCCATTTTTCCCTAAGATGGACAAAATATTGGAATCAAGCATATTCCTGCAACCCAGTGTGGCATTTGGGTTCGAACCAGCAATGGAGGTCATTTTGCTTCACCAAATTATCCTGACTCCTATCCACCAAACAAGGAGTGTATCTACGTTTTGGAAGGTATTTGACCAATTTCTGTCTTTTAATGGATGAATTTTAATTTTATTATAAAACTAAGTACGTTGGTAAGATGCCCAGTTTAAGCCATATTGAACAAAATTTAAACATGTATTTGAATTAAACTCTAGTAATTATACTGAATATTGAACACATTAACAAAATAATAGTTGAAATTTTCTAGGAGTTTTGAATCTCCTAAAATACAATTCAACCAGATGCGTCAGTATAGATGAGAAATTTCTCTAATAAGAAACTTGAAAGAAACAAACAAACAAACTCAAACTTAACTGGCGTCTCTTATCATGCTTTATGCAGATTTATGTCCATAGTTACATTAGTTCTTGTCATTTCTTCTGTTTTTCTATTTGTTGTATCTCATGAACTAAGCATTAGCTTTTCTAATCTAATTTTAATTAAGTACATTTAACTAATTTAATAAACAGCATATTCCAAAGGGAAAGATCACTGTAGTTCTGCAGAGCAGCTTTGTTATTATTGATGTATAATATAACATTAATTCTGAATTTTATATGTAATAGTCCTCATGATTCTCATCTGTGAAACAGTAACAGCAGTTGTTTTACTTTCCCTACTTGTGTCAGGACATTTATGCTTTTCTTTGTGTTGCCTTCATTTGCTTGGTTTTATTTTCTAGCTGCTCCACGTCAAAGAATAGAGCTGACCTTTGATGAACATTATTATATAGAACCATCATTTGAATGTCGGTTTGACCACTTGGAGGTTCGAGATGGGCCATTTGGTTTCTCTCCACTTATAGATCGTTATTGTGGTGTGAAAAGCCCTCCACTAATTAGATCAACAGGGAGATTCATGTGGATTAAGTTTAGTTCTGATGAAGAACTTGAAGGACTGGGATTTCGAGCAAAATATTCATTTATTCCAGGTAATGAAGTTGTCTTTTTTTCACTGGGTCTCACTCTGGTTTTAGAATCTTATGTCTAGAAAAGAGAGAATTTAGTCAAGTTAATCAAATCAAGGTTTTAAAGAAATTAGCAAGGCCAAAGGGAAATCACTTCGTGAATTAAATAAAACCAAAAATTGGAAATAGAATGGTATCACTTGAATTTTGAAGCATTTCATAGATGGCATCCCATTTTTCTTAGATTTCTTTATGTTTTATAATGTATAGCAAGGCTTAAAAACATCAAGATAAATATATTTTAAAAGATAATTCAGCAAATTGTCTTATTTTCATAATCCTTACCAAAAATTATTTTGGCAGGTTTTTTCCATTGGAATGCTTGAATTACCACTCATTTGAATAAGTAAGCTCTAGAAAATATTGAGTAAGGGAAAAAGTACTGCTCTGCACTTGGAGGCAAAAGATCTGGGTTCTAATCCGTTCTGTTACCTGATAGCTATAAGACTATTCAGCACAATTGCACCTGAGGGTTGCTGTTGGTAAAATGGGAATACCTGATGTATTACTTTCCTAAGGCTGCCTTAATGAACTACAAATTTAGCAGCTGAAAACAATAGAAATTTATTCTCAGAGTTCTGGAGGGCAGAAAACCCAGCAGGGCCACATTTCTTCTGGGAACTCTAGGGGAGAATCCATTGCTCACCTCTTCTAGCTCCTGGGGGCTTCCCCAGAATTCGTGGATTTGTGGCCACATCACTATAGTCCCTGCCTCCGTCTTCACATTCCCCTCTCAGAATCCTTAACTAAGCCCATCTTTTGTTTTGTAATGTAATTGTAATTGTCTTTTTTTTTTTTTTTTTAACCCACATAAAGTAATACAGGTTCTGAGGATTTGGATTAGGGTCTCCATTCAGCCCACTCTGACTGTCTTACCCTGCCCTGTGGTATGTGTGAACACTTTGAGACCTGCGGTACTCTCTGGTGTAAAACTGTGCATATCCCTAATGTTATTGTTCCTGTCGTCAAACAACTTATAGACTAACAAGATGAAAAAATAACTTAGTGTACCAATTATGTCATCTCTTTGCTTTTGTTTGTTTTCATGCAAGTAATTTGTTAATTAAAAAAATCCAAATGAAAAAATATCCATAATCTTACCATCCTATATATAAAAAACCACTGTTAACAATTTGGTGTGTATCCCTTCAGATGTTTTTCTGTATCTATTGATTTTGTTTTACATAACTGATGGCATACATCTATATTACCTGTTGTTTTGCCTGAACAACATAATCAGCTTTTTTTTCTTGTCAGTAAACATGGGAATTTTTTCTTTTTTTTTTTAAACAAACATGGGAGTTTTTAAGTGTTGTTTCAGTATTTATGTCCTCAATGCCAAAAGGGTAACATTTTAGAAAGTAAAGTTTATCTAATAGACTTTATTTATTTAGAACAGTTTTAGGTTCCCAGCAAAACTAAGCAGAAAGTACAGTTACCATGTATCTCCAACCCTGCACAAACACAGCTGCCTTCCAAAATCAGCATCCTGCTCCAGAGTGGTACATTTGTTACAGTTGATGAACCCACACTGACACATCATCCCCCAAAGTTCATAGTTTACATTAGGGTTCGTTGTTGGTGTTGTGTGTTCTGTGTGTTTGGACAAATGTAGGATGACTTGTGTCCACCATTACAATATTATATCAAGTATTTCCACTACCCTAAAAATCCTCTGGACTCTGTCTATTTATCCCTAACTCTTGGCAAGCAAGATCTTGCTGTCTCTGTAGTTTTGCCCTTTCCAGAACGTCATATTGTTGAAGCCATACAATTTGTAGCCTTTCCAGACAGGCTTCTTTTACACAGTAATATGAACTTAAGTTTCCTCTGTGTTTTTTCATGGTTTGACCGCTCATTTGTTTTTAATATTGAATAATATTTCATTGTATGTATGTACAATAGTATATCCATTCTGTTGAAGGGTATCTTGGTTGCTCCCAAGTTGTAGCAATTACAGATAACCTTGCTATTACCATCCATATGCAGGTTTTTTCGTGGACAACTTTTTCACTTATTTGCATAAATACCAAGGAGCACAATTGCTGAATAATAGTAAAATTTGTGTTTTTAATTTTTGCTTAAGTGGATAGTGGTTGTATATGTATATGTCATACATATATTTTACTACAATAAAAACAAATTTTTAAAAATTAGTTGCCAAAAAACTTAATTTGAAAGTTCAGATAGGACCTATATATGCCAAATTGCCAGAATGAAAAAATTGCCTCAATCTTTAAATAGCATGCAAAACCTATTTCAGTACACCGTTTATTGTATTTAACTGGATGTTCAATTCTTGTTAAAATTGTTTTTAATTCCAGATACTTTCTGCATAGTTATATTAAAAAAAGTAGGGGGGAAATTTTTTAGCTTGAGAATACATTGCAGAGACTTGCCTCTTTTAACTTAATAAACCAACCTTGCCGAAAGGGGATAACATTTCAGCTCTTTTGTAGAGAAATGTCAAAGACATATTTAATTAAACAGCAGTGGGGTAAAGTCATAGGAGCTACCTGCCAATGAATCAGAATTCCTTCGTGTGTAGACTATAGTTCTAGAATGTTGTCATTGCATTAAAATTTCCAGAATTATTGCAATTACTTCCAGGAAGTAGCAATCTATTAAGAGTCCTCTATCCTCAACAGATAGCACCAGAAATTTAGATAATTTAATTTAAAATATACTAATTTCTTGGGGCTCCTGGGTGGCTCAGTCAGTTAAGTGTCCAACTCTTTGATTCCTGCTCAGGTCGTGATCTCGATTGTGAGATCCAGCCCCACATCGGTCTCCACGCTCAGCATGGAGTCGGCTTCGGTTCTCCCAGCCCCACATCGGTCTCCACGCTTAGCATGGAGTGGGCTTCAGGTTCTCTCTCCCTCTATTCCCCCCACCTGCCTGCCTCAGGCATGCATGTGTGCGCTCTCACTCTCTCTAAAATGAATAAATAACTAAAATCTTTAAAATATACTATCTTCTCATTAGTAGTAGTAGTCTTCTTCTAGCTTTACTGATCCCTAGACAAAATTTATTTTATAAGTATGACTTGAAATAACTAGACACAGCCATAATTAGCCAGTTATGCATTACCTATTTATTTATTTATTTATTTATTTATTTATTTATTTTAGTGGTAAAACTGTGGAATCCTCACCCACATTATAAAGGCAATATGGTAGGGTAAGAAAAATTGTCTGGAGAATTGCAATCAAGTCCTGGCTTTGCCATTGTAAATATGGCCTAAGAAAGTCATAATCTCTCTCATTCAGTTTCCTCATCTTCAAAGCGGAATATTACATAGTTTTCCTGATATTGCTCTAATTAGCATGATACTAAGCATAATGTATGTAGAAACTCTGAAGTACTATAAAATGCAAATGTAAGGTAATATGTCTAGAAATCCTAAGAGTTTTATTATAATTTGTCTATATTTTAACCATAATCTGTATAAAATTGCCCTCATGATACATAAACTAATAGAAAAAGAGCTACTTTTCTTCAAGAGTCTCTATGTATTAAAAAGCCTGATTTTTAATACTTAAAAAAAGTATTCAATTAAGAGCATTGTTTTTGATGTCTGTTTTTTTTCTTTCAGGTAGTCAAACTAGTTTACAAAGATCTGATTCATATATAAGGGTTTTTAACATCTTTTTGACACTAAAGTATCATTTCAGTTAATTGATTTAGTTCATAAAAATCAAATACCTGACCAATTTACTGAAATCAGTTATTTTTATATGAACTATTAGTTCTTGGTCTTCTATGAACTACTTCACCAGACAGAATATCCTGTATATCACCTGGTCATTTTTTTCCCTGCCACTTTGAAAACACCACTTACTAGCTACTGTGTGTGTGTGTGTGTGTGTGGTGAATTACAAACATAAAACATAACATAACATAAAATTCACCATTTTCATCCTTTTTAAGTGTACGAGTGCATGTTAAGTACATTTACAGTGTTGTGTAATTGTCACCACCATCCATTTCTAGAACATTTTTGTTAACAAGCTGAAACCCTGTGTCCATTAAATACGAACTGCCCATTCCCCCTTTTCTCCAGCTTCTGATACTTACTGTCTGTATGAATTTGACTAATCTAGGAACCTCAATAAATGGAATCATACAATGTTAATATTTGTCCTTTAGTGTCTGGCTTATTTCACTTAGTGTAATGTTTCAGGGTTTATCCATGTTGTATAGCATATATCAGAATTTTATTTCTTTGTTAGACTGAATAATATTCCACTGTGTTGTGTATACTACATTATGTTTATTCATCCATCCATTAATGGACTAGCTATTGCTATTGACAGAGGGTTGCAAGTTTTCAGGTGGCATAAATAAGTTATTCATGATGGGATCAATAGTATAAACATTACCGTTTTAAAAAACATTGTTCCTGTAAATAAGCACCTAAACATGCCCGGGGGCGGGGGGGGGGGGTGGGAACAGTACTCTGTAGTCTACACCAATGAAAGCTTTCTCTTGCTTTGCTATTAAATGAAGGATTAGACATAACTTAAGACATGAAACTTTAACATAACTCTAAACTATCTCAATGCCAATTACTTTCTTCTTTTTTCTATTACAGATCCAGACTTTACTTACCTAGGAGGTATTTTAAATCCCATCCCAGGTTTAGTATATCACCTCTTTTTCCTCATAGCATTTTGTTCAATCTTATTTTCCTTTGAACATCATTCATCTATTCTTTCTAGATTGCCAGTTTGAGCTCTCGGGAGCTGATGGAATAGTGCGTTCTAGTCAGGTAGAACAAGAAGAAAAAACAAAACCTGGCCAAGCAGTTGATTGCATATGGACAATTAAGGCTACTCCAAAAGCCAAGGTATTATTATTTTTGAGTCACTTTAGAGAAGAACATAATTGATTAGTAGAATGTATTGTGTTGATTGATGCAGATACTTGCTATTATATAAACTGATACTGCAACTTTTTAAAAACTAATTTTATTTCAGTCAGGTTTGGCCATCTAAGATCTCAGCATTGTTATAGTTAAGTAACTGCAATATAGTTCCAGGAATATCACAGAAACATTTAGATTCTTAAAATCTGTGTATTCCTAAATCGAGGGTACAAGTATTGATCCATATGATTATCAATTCATAAAAAACTCTATGAGGAGGAAAAATAGACCACAAGGGGTTTAAGTGTCCTGTCAGAGTTCTCAGAGTTGGTCATGGCAGTGTCAAAACCAAAACACAAATAGAGTGAGTCTTGCTTCTGTGTTCTTTCCATGCCGTCCTCCGCTAATGATGTAGAGCTTTTATTGGAAAGTACTGCAGGGAAGGATGTTTTTAAATAACTCTGACAGATTGAGATTGGTTGCTGACTACTTTTGCTTTTTGCTTTTAATTTATACTTCTAGGAATATTCACAGTGAAAATTATATTTAATGTGGATATATGTGAAAAGAGAAAGTGGGGATAAGAGAACAAACTATTAAAGAATTATGAAAATCACATTTAGAGTTATGGTAATAAGATAGATTAAATAATGTGAAAACCTGCCTGTTACAAAACACCTGGAAACATTGGGTAATACATAACAGATACCCTTTTAAAAGTACAGGTAAGATTTCTAAAAAAAAATAATTCTTACGGACTAGAAATGAAGAGAGAGAACTATAAACCAGAGCAATAAACTGAAAACTGAAATTGTGATGGTATAAATGCCTCTTGCTGATTTCAGTACCCTCCAACTACTCACTGGTAGACCTGCCGGGAGCGTGGTATTACTAACCACAGTGAGACAGAAAAGGCCTGGGGTTTGTGTGACCTTTGTGAGATCCCTCACATAAAACTGGAACCCTTAAAGGGAAATATAATCGGTATGAAATGGTAGATTAGAAACCTTTTCCACTAACACAGGTTGACAGTGAAGAAGCTTATTTTTCTGGGCTATCTCAGGATAAAGCTGGGGTCTCCCCTAAAACTTTTACCTATGTAATTTACATTCCATGCCCAATCCAGGAACCACTTAATCTAAAAATTAACAAAATGGTCCTGGCCTCAAAAATCTTTTTAGACACCTGGCAAAAATAAATACAGAATAACCACAGAGGGATGCCTGGGTGGCTCAGTTGGTTAAGCGTCTGCCTTCGGCTCAGGTCATGATCCCAGGGTCCTGGGATCGAGTCCTGAATCGGGCTCCCTGCTCAGTGGGGGATCCTGCTTCTCGCTCTCCCTCTGCCGCTCCCCCTGCTTGTGCTCTGTCTCTCTCTCTCTATCACAAATAAATCTTCAGAATAACCAGAGAGGCTGTAGGATTGCCATCAGAAAGACACTGCTGAAGGTAAGCTCACAACTCAAAATTAGAAAACATAAGCAAACAACCCATCATGAGTGAATTAGCAAACATAACAGCAAGAAGTTTCTTAGATGCCTAAAAAGTGTTTTAATTATCTGACGAGAAAGAATCAAAAAGACGAAAAAGAAAAAATGATTGGGTACACTTTAAAAATAACCAAGTAGAACTTCCTCAAGTAAAAGGTATAGTTATTAAAGGATAGATCTAAGAAAATTACCCAGAATGTAGCTCAGGGGGTCAGGGAGAGGTAGTGGCAGTTTAGCAAGAAAATGTTCAGGCTGACAAAAAACATTGACACAGAGTTATTCCCAAAGCAAGAAAAAAGTTTATATTGACACCTCGCTACATTGGCCACGACAAACAATGAGAAAATCTTTAAAACACCTAGAGAAAAAAGAGAGCTATGAGAATCATTAATAGCAGAATAGAAGCTAGAAGACAATAGAGTAGTAATGTCTTCAAAGTGCTAAGAAAAAAAATAACTGCCAATCTAAAATTCAGTACTCAACTGTCATTTTAGAATGTGGGCAAAATTAAGATATTTCTGGGCAAAAATAATAAATGGACCAAATGCTACAATTAAAATCCAAGTTTATTCTGTTTTAGGATAACTATGGGAAATTTTGAAAATAAGAAAACAGGAAAGAAATAATAGACAAATACCAAAAGAGATCTGATACAGCTATTAAAATAGAAATCAAGGGCGCCTGGGTGGCTCAGTCGTTAAGCGTCTGCCTTCAGCTTAGGTCATGATCCCAGGGTCCTCGGATCGAGTCCCACATCGGGCTCCCTGCTCAGCGGGAAGCCTGCTTCTCCCTCTCCCACTCCCTCTGCTTGTGTTCCTGCTCTCAGTCTCTCTCTGTCAAATAAATAAATAAAATCTTTTAAAAAAAATAAAAACAGAAATCAAGAATGTCTGGGGCACCTGGGTGACTCAGTGGTTAAGCATCTGCCTTCAGCTCAGGTCATGATCCCAGAGTCCTGGGATAGAGCCCCATGTTGTGCTCCGTGCTCAGTGGGGAGGCTGCTTCTCCCTCTCCCTCTGCCTACTGCTCCCCCAGCTTGTACTCTCTTTCTGTCAAATAAATAAAATATTTTTTAAAAAAAAGAATGTCACCAATTCACAAGGAAGATACAGTTTTCATTTTATGTATTAATATGGCCTCAATATACAAAATATGAATTGACAGTTGCTGAGGAAAATTGACAGATCCACAATTATAGTGGGTAATTAATTTCACCTCTCAGTAATTAATCAGGCATACAGGAAAAGTAGTAAGGATCAGATTTAAACAACACAGCATGCCTGATGAGACATGGTATCTTACTCCTAACATCCAAAAAATATGCATGCATTCTCTACAAGCATGCATGAAACATTTATAAAATCTGATCCATATGCTAGACTAAAAATAGAAGTCTAAAATATGTAACAGTGCTTGGTATTATGCAGAGCATCCTCTGACAGAAATACAATTAAATCAGGAACCAGCAACCAAAAGATAACCCATATGTTTGGTAATTTAATAATATACCACTTAGTAATTAATAGGTCACAGAAGACATCAAGATGGAAATTTTAAACACACTTAAAACTGAATAAAATTGAAAATACATATCAATGTGTGGGATGCAGCTAAAAGTACGATAAGGGAGTTTTCATAAATGCTTCTTTTAGAAGAAGAAAAAGATTTAAATTTAATGAGAAGTTTCAACTCAAGAAGTTAAAAGAATGACCAAAGAAAGGGTAATAATGAAAGCAGAAATAAATGATATTTTAAAAAAAAAATCAACAAAGCCAAAAGCTGGCCCTCTGTAAAAGATAACTATAGGTATACCTCTGCCAAGATTTATTTAGTCAAAGAGACCTAAATAATATTTAGAAATGGAAAAGGTCATGGGGGCGCCTCGGTGGTTCAGTCGGTTAAGTGGCTGCCTTCAGCTCAGGTTATGATCTCAGGGTCCTGGGATCGAGCCCCGCGTTGGGCTCTCTGCTCAGTGGGGAGTCTGCTTCTCACTCTCCCTCTGCCCCTTCCCCCTGTTCATTCTCTCTCTGTGTCTCTCTCATCTTAAAAAAAAAAAAAAATGGAAAAGGTCATGAATCAACTATAGTGGAGATTTAAAAACTCTTACAAGACAAACTATGAAGAAAACCTGAACAAAAGAGAAAAAAAGAAACCTGAGGGTTTCTTCAATAAATAAATGACAAAGGGAAAACAGCAGTGAATCCTAGATTAAAAGAAATGTGAAGTCAAATGAACATGTGAATTCAAAGTATAAAAGTAGGAAACATTACATAACAGAAGTCTGAACACCGTTATTTGATAAGAAATTATTTGTTGGTTTGATAATAGAACTGATCATATTTTAAGTGGTCTTTAGCAAGACACAGAACTGTTGACATGTGAATTCTCTCTGGGATTTGTCTTAGTATGTGGGATGGGTATGGTTCAAGACTGGCTGAGTTAATAACTGGTAAAGCTAGGAGTTGAGGACAAGGGTTTATGATACTATTTTGTCTGCATTTTCACATTTGAAATTTTCCATAATCAAACTGTGTTAGACTATAAGAGAATACTAAGAGTAATTCTTTACTGATAAATTTATAAACAGTCTAAATGGACAATTTCCTGAAATATGTATGTGTATACATACACATTTACATACATGTATATACAATTTACAAAAACTAAATCAGAGAAATAGAAAACCTGAATAAATCTTACCAATTAACAAAATTGATTTTGTACTTAAAATATATAAGCAGAAAAGTTGGTCAGATTGGATTTTTACCAGGTACTCAAGGAACATGTTATCTAAACGGTTTCAGAAAACTGAAGAAAAAAAGAACATTTCCCAGCCTATTCTATCAGAACTAAACAGCATGGAGAGTTATAAACCAGGATTATTTGTAAAATGGCTGGGAGGGAGGGCAGACCCAAAAAACTAAGCAATATCAGACTAAACCTAGTAAAGTTTTTTTTAGAAATCATGACCTAGAAATTCTTGGTTTAAGGGCCCCTGGGTGGCTCAGTCGTTAAGCGTCTGCCTTGGGCTCAGGTCATGATCCCTGGGTCCTGGGATCGAGTCCCGCATCAGGCTCCCTGCTCAGCGGGAAGCCTGCTTCTCCCTCTCCCACTCCCCCTGCTTGTGTTCCTGCTCTTGCTGTCTCTGTCTCTGTCAAATAAATAAATAAAATCTTAAAAAAAAAATTCTTGGTTTAAGATAAGAAAATTGAATGATGTAGTTTCCCATATTAACAGATTAAAGGAGAAATTCTGATATAGCATTAGATGCAGAAAAAATACTCCATGAAACTTAGAAACTACTGATAAAAATCTCTCAGTAATTCCACCATAGGAGAATGCATTTCAATCATGATGAAGAGTATCTACTAAAACCCTAAATCAAACTTTGTAATTAATGGTGAAACCTTAAAAGCATTTCCTTTAAGCTCAGGACAAGTCAAAGATGTCTGTTGTCAGTGTTTTATTTGGTGGTGTTCTGAAATCCTGGTCA